GAGGTAATACCTCATTGTCATGACTTTGAGTAGTTTTTCATGTCTCTTGGCCATCTGTATGTTCACTTTGGAGAAGGTCTATTTAAGTCCTTTGCCCATTTTTTAATTGGATTGTTTGTCTTTTGTTAAGTTGTATGAGTTCCTTTTATATTTTGGATATTAACCTTTTATCAGATGTATCATTGGCAAATATGTTCTCCCATACAGTGGACTACCTTTTCCTTTTGTTGACGGTTTCTTTTGCTGTGCAGAAGCTTTTTATTTTGATGTAGTCCCATTTATTTATTTTCTCCTTAGTTTCCTTTGCCCTATGAGATGTATCTGTAAACATATTGCTACAAGAGTTGTCTGAGGCATATGTTTCTTCTAGGATTTTTATAGTTTCACAGCTTACATTTAGGTCTTTTATCGATTTTGAGTTTATTCTTGTGTATGGTGTAAGTTGGTGGTCTGGTTTCATTTTTTTCATATATCTGTCCAATTTTCCCAACACCGTTTATCAAAGAGACTATCTTGACTCCTTTGTATGTTCTTGCCTCCTTTGTCAAGTATTAATGGCTTGGGTTTATTTCTGGGATTTCTGTTCCATTGATCTATATGCCTGTTCTTATGCCAGTACCAGGCTGTTTTGATTATAGTGGCTTTGTAGTATAACTTGATATCTGGTATTGTGATCCCTCCAACTTTGTTCTTCTTTATCAAGGTTGCTGTGGCTATTCAGAGTCTCTTTTGGTTCCATATAAATTTTTGGAGTATTTGTTCTAGATCTGTGAAATATGCCTTTGGTATTTTAATAGGGAATCTGTAGATTGCTTTAGGGAGTATAGACATTTTAATGATGTTAATTCTACCAATCCATGGACACGGTATATTCTTCCACTTGTTTATATCTTCTTCTATCTCTTTTTTCAATGTATGAACCATTCATACATTCACTCATTCACTCCATCAATTTGGTGAGGGCATTCTATGTGCTAGACATTAACTATGTTCTGGTAATACAAGGGAAAGAATCACTTAATAATCCCATATTTATGGGTACCTGTGTTTGATCATTTGGCAGATGTTGGCCCTTGGGGACAGCAAAATATTAGTAACAAAACCAAAAACAAACAAAAATCAAACATGGATCAGAGTTGTTGGATTTTAATACAGATTAGTCAGCTATGCTATGTGGCTAAATCAGGTGACTCCTCACAAGAGAGCCTTGTGTTTCTGCTGGTCATGTCAACAGCTGCTCTTCAAGGGAAGGAAAGGTATTCTCATCAGATGCCATAGTTTTTGAGCACTGAGTTGTTTAGGATGTTATTTTTCTTCTAGTTTTATTTAACTACATGCAGATTCATTTTAATAATCTGTTATAAAAATTTTTAAGTGCTCAATGTTAAATTATGAAAACAGAGAATGTATGTACCATATTTAAGAATAGGGTAATTAATAACTCATAAATGAATCACCTTGACATTATCTATAATAATAAAAGTGTAATATGCAAATTTACCAAACAGCTGAACAGCAGAATGACCGTCTTGACGACCATGCTATGACACACACTGGTACCAGGCCAGCCAAGGAGGGTGCGATGCGATTGGTCGGGAGGCCCCACTATGGCCCCACAATCGCCCCACAGAGGGCGGCCCTGGCCACCAACTGGTGGGCTGCAGCAGGTGGGCGGGGCAATCAATTAAGGGGCTCCTGGATTGTGAGAGGGCGCAGGCTGGGCTGAAGGACCCCCCCCCTCCCCGAGTGCACAAATTTCATGCACCAGGCCTCTAGTTTCTTTATCTATAAGTAAGAACAGATGCTCTGAATGTTTTTAAAGTCTTCAGTTAGAATCTTATATCCAATACCTAGTAGACTGTCTGACTCACAGTAAGAACTCAATAAATGTTTGCTGAACTGTACTCTCAAAAAATCCTCTGAAGGACATACATTAGTTGACAGATATTTAGAAATGTTTTCTTTTCTTCTCAGAACCTGAAGGGATTTATCAAAATCTGTTGTTGAGAAAAGAACACATCTATAAAAGTATCAAATTTGTAAAGTGTTCCTTATCATATAAAAGATTTTTAAGGTTTCTAAAATAAAATCAATTTTATCCTTATATAATCCAGTTTAGCAAAATGTAATCTGGGAACAATTCATCCTATCTAATAATAGACAAACATGGTAATTGACCATACCTTTGCTATGCTTCCCATTGGCTAATCAGGGCGATATGCAAATTAACTTCCAACAAAGATGGCAGTTAATTTGCATACGTAGCGGTTAATTTGCATACGTAGGCGCAATGCTGGGAGGGGAAAGGGGAAGGACGGAAGAAGCCGCCTGCCGCTGATGGTGATCGGAAACCCA